ACATATACATTGTTTGCATATAATAAGAAAATATTGATTGTAAATACATCTGTTTTAATGGTGATTTGTTTGTTAAATATACTCTCACCCACGAAAACAAACGTCAACCTCAAATATTAAGCAAACGAAGAAACACCTTTGATTTATCTAGGCATCTGCAATTTTACATATACATGTACTTGTTACAAGAACTTGGCATTCATGAAACAATCAGACTAAAAGTACAATTTAACAGACAAAAACACAGAGACAGACTATGATGCAATTTTACAAAAACATGAAAACTACTTCTCGTGTTTTTTTAGCAATGCGCAACTGTTGCGTGTGCAATTTGTCTACTTTGATTAAAGATGTCTATAGGATGATGAAAGTAGGCAGGATAATTTGAGAGTTTGTAAAGTTAAGATGAAAAAATCAGATAAATCATAGACTCCTGTTACTTATTTAATGATTCAAGGTAAAGAATAAAAAGTGTTTTGATAAGTATATTTGATAAATATATATATAAATTGTCAAATGATATAACATGATAAGAAGTGTAATGTTCTTGTATATGTACTATTTTGAAGGAAAAAAAAGATAATTGGACTTACTGATTTTATGCAGGCAGGCATATATAAACATCTTAGTAAACAATCTAATAATATCGTTTTTCAGATTGAACATATCTACCCTTTTAAGAAAGTTTATGCATGTGAAATAAACTATACTTCAAACTGTCATGAGAGAAGCAACAACAATTGTAAAAAAACAAGTTATTGAAAAAAGTAAATTAGGATATATACATACATAGAATAATATAATATAATATACAAGAATTCAAACTATGCAATATAATTTTTCTAGGCAAGAATGAAAATATAACAGCTAATGCAGGCGGGCAAAATGTGATTTTCTCTTGCATGTAAGATAAACAAGTTTCTTACTCCTTAACGCTTGTGTTTTAGATCCGAGAGACTGATCTTTGCCATGTAATGCAAAGTGTTTGCAAATATTACATTTAATTATAAAGCAACATTGTCATAATATGTATGTTATCTGAAAATTTCTCTGAATTTTGTTAAGTGTTAAAAATAATATATCCATTATCTTATGTACTACTTGTAATGTTACACTATTTACTAAAAAAAATGAATTTGTTTGTGATATATTTGTCTCATTCGCATTCGAGTAAACATCAGACACAATGAAAAATACAAATGAAATATGACATTGTGATATTTCAGATATAATTTGTTTGGTCTTTGCGAAGCATATGAGTATAAGTATTAGTTCATGAAATTCTTATCACTGGTGTCACTGGTGTTACTAATTTGTGCACTCAACAGCACACTTTGTAAGATGAAGTAATGCGAATGGATAGAGTATGTCATAATCAGTATTATAAAATTAGATTACATGTTGACTGTACACTGTATAAAATGTATAAAATGTTGTCCTCATGGGCGTTTGGCCTTCATGATATTTCTTACAAAATAAAATATCTACACTTTGAAGAAAATGAATGCAAGTAAAATAAAATATACTTCAAATTGTCATGAGAGTAACAACAACATTTGTAAAAAAACAAGTTATTGAAAAAAAGAATTTAAGATACATACGTACATAGAATAATATAATACAATATGCAATAATTCAAACTATGGAATATAATTTTGTTCTTATCGAGGATCTTGATTACGGTTTTAATTTCAGAGTAGTTTATCAATTTAACGATAACTTCTTAAATTCGATATCACATATAATACTCATGTTCATTTCAAAATGTATAATATGATGATAATCTTTTTATTTGCAAAATATTAAAGGATTTGTAAGGAGATTCTACTTGTTTGAGTAATAATTGCATTTTGAACATTATTGTTATTCACGTAAGTATTGATTACCACTGTGAAGATTTAAGGTGTCACTATTCGTAATTGTTTTTCAAAATCTTATAAAATTTTAGTGCATGATTGTATATTTTGTATCACACATTAGTTGTACTACACTTTATTCTGAAATTGACTTTGCTTCTTTCTCAATGACAGGGTAGAGTATACGTAATATGAAGACAATAAAAAAGTTGAACTCAATTTTTGATATTTATATGAAACTTTAGTTAAGTTGCTTGAATAGATGTAATTTTATTTGAACAGCAAGCTTTATTACAATGAAAGATTTAGTTTTAAGAGGATATGTTTATTACTTTTATCTTCATTTGATGATTAACTGGAATCTCACGTGTCCCATTTTTTTCATTAACCCATTACTTCATGAGCATTTTGTGAAAAATGGCTGTTTTCATTGAAAAGTCTCCCGTTACAAGTTCAAATTGCTATAATACTATAAAAACTGCTTCAACACTAATCAAACTTGGCACAAATGTTGACTGGACCATTGCCCTTGCAACAACATGCTCAGGCTTAAATTTTCTGTTACCATGGCAACGAGGGGACATCTCAAAATTGCCAAAAATCACTATTTTGCGTTGATTTTTTCCATCATAATTGATTTCAAAGTGCTGCAACTTCTCAATGGATTGAGAAAGAGTCAAATGCTTTTCAGCGTTGGTTACACGTTACCTTATGATCAATCTGAGGTCATTTATAGCCTCTCACAAGTCCAAAATTTTCTTGGCGATGAGGGGCACTCCGCCCCCCTTCAAACCCCCCAAACAGAAGGGGGCACATCCCCCTTCTGGCAACCCCCTGATGTATCTTTTGGTTGGGGGGCCGCGCCGAAAAAGTGGTCACTTTTTTTAACAACATTTCTCAAACGAAAACAAGTGTTGGGGCCTAAAGAAGGCATTTTTTCACCATTTGAGACAACAAAAAGGGGGGGTGAAAAAGGCGTTAAAAGGCGTGTATATGAAGTAATGGGTTAACAGAAAATGATGAAAATACTTGAAATTACCCTAAATCGCGTTTTTCCATGTTTAAACATGGCCTGTCATATAAATTTGAAGAAAAATTGTTGTTTTGTAGATTTTTTTATTTTTTTCATTAACCCATTACTTCATGAGCATTTTGTGAAAAATGGCTGTTTTTATTGAAAAGTCTCCCGTTACAAGTTCAAATTGCTATAATACTATAAAAACTGCTTCAACACTAATCAAACTTGGCACAAATGTTGACTGGACCATTGCCCTTGCAACAACATGCTCAGGCTTAAATTTTCTGTTACCATGGCAACGAGGGGACATCTCAAAATTGCCAAAAATCACTATTTTGCGTTGATTTTTTCCATCATAATTGATTTCAAAGTGCTGCAACTTCTCAATGGATTGAGATAGAGTCAAATGCTTTTCAGCGTTGGTTACACGTTACCTTATGATCAATCTGAGGTCATTTATAGCCTCTCACAAGTCCAAAATTTTCTTGGCGATGAGGGGGACTCCGCCCCCCTTCAAACCCCCCAAACAGAAGGGGGCACATCCCCCTTCTGGCAACCCCCTGATGTATCTTTTGGTTGGGGGGCCGCGCCGAAAAAGTGGTCACTTTTTTAACAACATTTCTCAAACGAAAACAAGTGTTGGGGCCTAAAGAAGGCATTTTTTCACCATTTGAGACAACAAAAAGGGGGGGGTGAAAAAGGCGTTAAAAGGCGTGTATATGAAGTAATGGGTTAAACTGAAGTTTCATATTCTTACAGTTATTTAGCTAATCTGATACCGTCTCATACTATTTTAAAAAAATTACCAATTGAATAAACATTTGATCATATTTAATTTTGCCGTTTAATGGTACATGGACATGGTTGAGTTTACACATGTACCCACTATTTATGCAAAGTAACATATTTATTATTGTATCATAGTTAATGGACCTTTATGTTGAAAATGTGTCAGAGTTAAATCGTATACATATACATGCACAGTGCGTTAACTGGAAAGCAGGCATTAGTTACCCGCACTATACAGCATACATATTAATTGGCTCATTTTTCTGAGGATTTACTTATTTTTGTCAAGGGAAAGCGATAGAAATATCATATTCAGATGCTCGTTCATTTGTTCGTCCTCTCTGGGGGTTCATATTGTGACAACAGGAAACGTGTTTTTTGCCTATTCTACACCAGCCTCACACCCTCTTACAAAACAGATAGCCTCGTGTTTTAATGCTCGTTCTATTACTTATTTTCAAGAACTCATAGTATCAGAGAGTTATACATTACAGTCAATTTTGACATAAGTAGTATACAGTCATATCTCTTCTTTTCTATTATTTTATAATAAATATATAATAAATATAAATCTATAATCTGTTTTTCAGATTTTCCCTAATCTTCACAATTTCTAATGTATTACCTTCATTCTCTTGTACCGATCTTTTCTGTGGCATCAGTTTACATCATGTTTTAAAGAACAAAAATGATATAAACTTACAAGGTATGTAATGTTGTGTTTAAAAATTAATTGGTTCATTCAGAGACAGCAGTGCCTAAATAAAAGAAATCATACAAATCCACAAAATATGAGAGCAAAAGCACAGCATGTCTTCAACTTTTTGTTGCTGTTACTTTATTTGATTTAAGATGTAATCGGGATCGTAAAACTCGGAAGGTTCTGTAAGATTTATATTTGTTTCTACATCCACCAAATTGTTTTAACATGTCTTAAATATTTTATCGAACATAAATGATTTCTTCTGTACAACACGGGATGCTTGGAAAAGAGTTTTAGACAATTTTAGTCTCTGATTAAAAGAAGGGCGTTACCTGTATGACCTTTGCAACAATTATCCTGTATCTTGCAAAAAAAAAGACAAATTTAACATTATTAACACTTAACATATCGGAATGAAACATTGACTTTTGAAGAAAGGGGATCAGAGGTTATGGAGCCTTTTTTTTATCAACAATCGGTTTATTGAAAAATGATGTTACTGGATCTCATTTAAAAATAACATAAAAGGTAAATTGGAATATGTGGTCTTTTTGCCACACATAATGGTATTACCTTAGATAACTGTAATCTTCTGACTAAAGCGTGACAATGTTGTATGCCAACTAACAGATAATATCTAAATCGAGCTGATTACACATTTTTGTCAGCCATGTGCGATGAATAGGAAGTTTCTGTATTATCTTCATTCTGTAAAACAAGATGCTCGTGAATATATTTTTAATTTGTGGTGCTAGTTTGGCTGTAGTTCATACCTTTGAAGATAAACCAATATCACAATGGTTGGCGGACAATGGCTACAGCACACTGGTCAGTCTTTTAAAACAGGCAGGACTTTACGATACACTCAATGGACCAGGAGGTAAGTGTTGAAAGTATTGATATTTTTTTTTCAAAAGTAGATTTAGACTATAGCACTCATATCTTTATTGTGTTTATATTCATTCTGGAAATAATGATATATACCAAATTATACTACCGATCACAAAAACTTACTACAAGGCCGATATAAACAACACCAAATGAATAAAAGTCGAAGATTTGATTTATTATGTCATTTATGGGTGAACAAAAGAAAATGAAACTACCTTAAAGACCTTATAATCGGCTTGAAATATTATACTATTTTTCAGCGTACACGATGTTTGCGCCATCAAATGCAGCCTTCAGTAAAGTGCCTCAGAGTACATTGAGTTCTCTTGTATCTGATAAATCACTGTTAGTATCTGTCCTAAAAAACATCTGTTACCAGAGTTTGCCATGACTCCTACTTTACGTGATGGTGACGTTAAGACGAGCCTTAATGGGACAGATCTTACATTCAAACTGTTGCCAAATGGAGTAAGCTTTATTACTTCCCGTATTTATGTATTTTGACAAATTGGTTACAATATCAATTATGTTAGTGTTATTATTATTATTATTATTATTATTATTATTATTATTATTATTATTATTTTGGAATTGAATTTTTACATATTTTTTAACATTTTGAATTTTCTATTTATCGAAAAAAAAGAATGATTCTTAATTTTCGAACGTCAGTATAAATACATGTATATTGTATGTGTGCGCCGCGTAAAATGTGAATTACTTTTCTACAGGTTTTATTGGTTAACAATGCTGTTGTAAGTGAAAAGTCCAGCGATATAATCTTGAACAACGGTGTCGTACATGTAATTAATTCCGTGTTACTTCCAATCACGGATAAAGTCGGGGAAATCCTGCTAAAGAGGAATGAGTTCAGTACCCTTAGTTTCCTTCTAGCCTTTACAGATCTTGCACCCACTTTGCTAGGTAATTAAAATAACTTTTTATGGCAAAGGTCGCCACATTAAAATTGCACCGTCAGCCTGTTTGTGCGTCCCACTTCAGATTTTAATTTTGTCATGCATTTAAGGATTTTAAAACAGCTTGGGACAAATGTCTACCGCATTAAGACGATGTAACGCATCAAAGAAACCACTTACTCGTATTTATTTTTCATTGATAAAACCTAAAGAAATACCTTATTGTTGCTTTTACAGACGTAATTTGTAAAAAGAAAACAACCAATTTACTTTTGTATATATTCTTTTTTTTAACTAGAATTTTTTTGTCATAAAATTTGCATCCAATGAATGTACTCTTTATGATGGAACAGCGGCATGCTAATCCAACCATCGGTTTGACATGTGAAAGCCAGACAGGAATTTTCTAATTTAGGTTTTGCCATTGTGTGCAGTGAAGCAGAACAACAGGCGATATGCACAACACGGGTTGGTACTGGTCACACCTATGAAGATTCCTGTTTGACCTGTATAAAACGAACAGGACGCGGTTTCTTTTATTTTTAGCTCAAAATGCCATTTTGTTTTGCAGCGAAGCGGAACGTGCCGGCAATAGGCCCAACAGAGGTTGATAATTCATGTGAATTTTTGTCGCATTCTAACCAACTGTTTCGCTTGTGAAAGCCAGACAAGCTAAATTCGGACTGACAGGCGGACGACGAAGTCAAAAACAATATGTCAATCAAAAAGTTCGGGAGGCATAACTACCGTCCGTGCTTTGCGTTTGTCACCCTCCTCTTGTTTTTGTTTGATGTCATTTTGGTCCTGCTAGACTGTATTTGAGGATTTGTTTGTTGAATGCCGCACTTTCTGGTTGATCTTTGTTTCCAAATCTTAAATTTGTTATAGCTTTGAACTATCATTTACTTGTTGTCTTTGTCTTAACAGGAAGAAGTGTTACTTTATTTGCGCCAACAAACGATGCCTTCCAATCAGTAAGTCCAAGTCTTCCAGAGCTCTCTCTTCCTGGATCATTAGAAGTATATAAAAGTAAGTGATCTCACGTATTGCAATACTGGTAACTCTTTAATATATGATCTTACTTAAGTGGTTATTTATTTTAAACAATATTTATCTATAATCTATACATTTATATAACAAAGTACATAAAATTAAATTAACGGATTGAGTTGAAAGATTGAAACGTTTGTTTTGTTAAACTCTATGTAAAGTGGTTATTTGTAATAACAAGTAAAGAAGTAAAGAAAAACTGATTTTGTTTGACTGATCAAAGCAATTACGGTGTATGTGTTATATTTTAAAACAAAAGGCCGAACGAACAGTGTAATTTAAAATAAAACCTGTATAGCATTTAAAGAATTCATTTGTTTAACGATTATCATAAGCATTAATCTTTTAGAAATCTGAAGTAACAAATATTACAATCCCAGCTCCTGTGCACAGCTTTATTAAACAACTTGAATAAGTATATTTATAGGCTGTAACAAGAACTACAATCAGTACAACCAGGTTAGTGGTATTAAAGTGAGCAAAAACTTGGTCCAATAAGCTAACATAAATTTATGTGAAAGGAATGATTTTCAATAACTACAACATGCGTTCTGCAACCTCACTTGCCTTATTTAACAACCCTTTACGAACATTTTTTCGTTGAATCAGATAAAAAAAAATCCATACACAAATAAAATGAAAACTGTTTTAGAAATTCTGCGGAACCACGTCGTAAATGGTGTTTTCCCCACAAATACGCTACATAATGGAGAGGTTTTCACCGCTTTAGGTGGAAGAACGTTGCATGTCAGCATCAACTCAAGTAAGAATGATAAATATCACATTATTCAAGGGCCAGTAACGATTCTACTGAGTTTGTGGGCTCATTTGCAAAGCTGATCCAATCACAGTCACTCATTAATGTTATTTATTGACAGCAACATACATTTTGTGAAATAATGTAACAAGTAAAAGTAGTAAAGTGTTCAAAATTTCTAAGGTATATCATAATATATATTATTAAAATTATGTTGAAGAAGCTTTCTACGGTTTTCTTTTTTCTGTTTTTTTTTTTTTTTTTTTTTTTTTTTCATGTATTTGCTACTTGCAGGGTCCTAGGTCTTATCAGTTTTCAAACGCAAAATACAAAACCTCAGTGTTATATTCCGTATGTGTCAGTTTTTGTTAAAGCTTCGAGCCTCCAGATGAGTCATGATATTTCAATAAAATCAAACTTGAGAAAAATGTACTAATATGTAATGAAAAGTTCAAAATTTAAGATTCAAGTAATATTTTACATATTTTGTGCAATTAATGACCGATTTTTCTATATTTCTACTGCGTTACTAACACAGTAAAGGCCTTTTATGCATATTTTGACCACTTTTGTGGCACTTTCAGTTATTTGAATGTTTCATTGATAATTTGTAAATTGATTCATTTTGGTTACTTCACAATAATACACATTCAAATACATTTTCAAAAAAAATAATAAAAATTAGCATGAATCTGGAGGCATGCTGCTTTAAAATTCCTGTTATAAACAGTTAAATATATACATAGCATTTACTTGTCGCACACCTTTACGCTTCAGGCGGTGTGTTGGTTACACCTAGTGGATCAATTACCACAGGAAAGTTGACAGAAACTGACATCCAAGCCATAAACGGTTTGATACATGTGGTCGACCATGTTCTTATACCACAAGGTTTGAAGAGAAGTGCTCCAGCGAAATGATTCTATTTTTCAATCCGATAACCAAAGAAAAACTTTAGTTCAATTTATAGTAAAATTTGAAATCAAGTAATTGTACACAAAGGTTAAAATAAAGTGCAAAATCGACGATTGATCTTTACTTGTTATTTAACAGCCGTATAAATTTGGCTAGCATGTTTGATCTTATGTTATCTAATAAGTACCAATAAAAAAGGAAGCTTTGACGTCGACATTTTTCATTCCAAAAAGAAAGCCCTTGAAGACATTAGAAATTTGATATTTTTCAATTAGCGAATTGCCCTTTCAGTGCTATTAAACGTATTAGGTAAGGACCATATCTTACTTGTGTCGATAATTTCCTTTTACAACATAACACAACGTAAAAGTTGCTTAAGCAAAGCAAAATATGTATATCCATCATAAGTTTGTATTTATTTGGATTCGTTAACTACTTTAAGAAATCGTTATGTAATCAGGGAACTGTCACATTGACGAGACTACGAGTAAATATGAAGGATTTATCGTTAGAAACTTATCTGTTTTTATAGTATTATGATTTTTAATTTACCGGTTCCAAATGTCATGATCTAACACACCACTAGCAAGTAATGATAGTAAATAAACAAAATACCTCGGAAACACAACTTTACAGATAAATGACAATATTCAGTGACGGGAATATTCAGTAGCAAAATACTCATATTCTATTTGCACTTATTTGAGACTTGACTTTAATGCATGGTAATGTTTGAAAACTATTGGGCTCGTTATGTCATTGGCCCTCACCTATTATCTTGAAAACTCGTGCTATAATGAATAACAACGAAATCAATGCTTTAAGTGATAAGCGGATGCGAAATGTATGGAATTTTTAACGTGCTTGATAGATTTTGATGAAATGATCCTCACTGCGGGTATAACCAATATGGATCTCAAAATTGAGCATCGTTAAAAATATTGTTTCCGTTGATCCAGATGTGCATCGTATATGTGAACATTACTGTTTTTGTGAACGTATATATCTTGAAGTGCTCTTTGATGCATTTATTCGATACATTGGTATCAAAGTGAAATATTTGTGATTGAAAATCATAACTTTATTGTTATTGTTTAATCTACATCGGCAAACATTTCCTGCTCGCAATAGCAAAAAGACTTTCACATGTGAGGAAGGCCGTTACTTACTTACATGTTTCCTTGATGTTACCAGATATTTAATCAACTGATCTTCTAAGCATAGTGTGATAGTAGAAAAAAACATAATTGTTAAAATGCTAAATAAAATATTATGATTTATCTCATATTATCACAATGTATCATTGAGCTCAATCAATCAACTTTAATTCAAGTCTTGCACATTGCCTGATTCCCTTTCTGACTGACATGTCTTAGAAATATAAAATAGATAATATGATTAATATAATCTAGGCATTATCTTAACACAATTATGATCAGAGTGGTTAACATAAAAAATTAACAATTTTTCATAACATTCTACACCACGAATATCAAGACAATCCTAGGAATAGAAAGGTATTTGAGAAGCATGAATACTATTTTGTTATTTTCTGATCAATCATATTTAAAAGAAAATAACAAAACTTTTATAGGATACATAATCCGAAATACTGATAATAAATTTGTCCTTATAGGGATGTAAACGTTAAACGTTTCGGAGAGAATCCCTTTTTAAATATTGCACTATGCTTCATATCCAATCTGATAGCAGTGTCTTCGGAATCTACAATGATAAACATTATCCTGCATATTTCTGAATGAAATTGAGCTTATCATCACTAATATTGCAAGATAATTTTTTTTAAAACTAACTATCACACTAAACAACAAAATCAACAAACGCTTAAAAATATAAACATAATCATGACTGTCACAGCAATTCAATCTTTCCAAATTTTTATACTTGACAACAGCTGGTATCAAGTGCATTCTGGCAACTGTAAATAGTTGACACGTACTTCATTTCAATTTAGTGTTGTTATATTTTTCTGGTCTCCCGAAATCATTGATTCAAGCACATTGATTACTGAAGATTGAACACCGCTTATGCTGGTGCTAAGGGTGCGAACATTATCGCTCAAAAACAGACTCGATCAAACTGAGTCTCCAAATTTAATTTTCACATAATTTTTCAATTGTTCATATTCATAAGTTTTCATTGATTCTTCGGGATCATGACATTTCCTTTTTTTTAATAGGAATATTCGTTAAACAACAAAATGATTTAATAGAAACCGAAAGTTAAGAAATATCCTTCTTATTAAATTAAAAAACAGTGAACAAGAAGCCTAATAGAAGTACTTTACCGTACACTTTTAACTAAAGTGTATAATATAACCTATTCTATTTTTATCAAATTTGCAATCAAATATTTTTTTGAGATTTTAAACCAGGACAAACTGTTTTTATCAAAAATGTAAAATCAAATATATCCTAAATGTCTTTTAAAGTTTAAGTTCACTTGTACTTATTAAAGTTTCTTCCAAAGTATTTTAGTTTTATAATCAATGACGCTTGATTTTTGGTTTTTCCTGACAATGAGCAGATCCGATACAAAAGTAATGGAGAGCATTCGACAAACTTTAAGTGATTTACATTTAGAATATAACGATTTCTAAACGGAATTAACAAATATTTGTAAAACTGCATTAAATGCAACTTAAGCAGCATTTCCGGTGTTCTGTTTAATGTCAAGATTTTTCGCTAATTAGATGTTAATTACAATAGGATTCTTGTAGTAAAATATGTTAACAAACTCTTTCTAAACGTAAACCTAGACAGTGTTTTTAATACATAATAAAGAAATAAGTTGAGCATATACTGCCACTTAAAATAAATCGATACAATATTGATATGATATCATCAATGATACGAAGAGCAAGGAGAGTAGTATATACACATGTAGTCTGCATTGTCGAAATTGTTTTTGTAACTTTGAGAGTTTTGCAACATGATTTTCAAGTCTTAGCTGCTAAAAGTAGTTTTGAAAATATAAATGGAAAATCCAAAGGAATTTCTAAAACGCTAAATAAAAATAAAAACGTGTATTCAGACCCTATACAGCATGTTAAGACTTGCACTTTAACAACCGTTTCATTTGATTCCTTTGGGAACAGATTCAATTGTTCATCGTGTAAAAACAGTATATTTATAAAATGGTGGTTTATGGGAACGTGTTTCTTTTTATGTTCAAGGCAAGCAAAGTCAAATGCAATATTTACCTCCAAGCCAAATAGTTCCATTCCGTCTAAACCTAAAAGTATCACGATTTTCACTATAAAGTAACTTATCAAAAGTGGCATTATGCCTACTCAGGAGTAAATAGTGAGTGTATGCGCACAATAATTTTAGATTTTTAAAACAAAGGTTTTCAATTTTACATTAAGCTTCGCCAAAATTAGCCAATAACTCAATACCAATGCAATTTCCTGTAATATATCTAGTACTATATTGGTAATACTTATATCATAAAAAGGTAGAAAAGTCTTTTTAAAATTTATCTTTTTTTTCCTTTAAATAATTTGTCAATAGTTACAAAAGTTGTCAATATTTTACAATAGCTAATTCAGCTCAATTTAACAACACAAAAGTCTCTTTAAAGACTAAAAGAAATACATATCGAATAATTTTTATAACAAATCTTTACATTGTATTATATTACATATTTGTTTAAGAAGTTTATGATAATGAATAGACATTGATTTAATTATATAATTGACTATTAATAAATTTGCACTTTATCTAGTTTTGACCAAATTGTAAAAATTAAAAATTGTTAAAATGGCTAACAACATGAGCCCTCGTGCGCGCAACTCTATCGGAGATGCAAATGATTTGTTTGGAAGGTGGTACGTACCATTGCGCAAGTAGAATTTGAAATTTCAGTTGTGGTCATGTCAAAACTGAAGCAAAATTATACATCAATTTTTTAATTGATCTAAACTGACATTTATTAAAAAATATAATCATTTATAAAAAAGCAAAAGTGCGACATTTTTCATGCTTTCCTTCAAACAATGTTTTGACTTCGAATAAATGTTTTTGGTTCCCAATCTTTAATCAAAGTGACAGTGTTTTTAGTGTTTGTCTTGTTTTTAAATTTTATGATGACATCAATATTTTCACTAAATCTACAAAAGTGACAGACGTGAAGATAAGAGGGATATCTTAAGTTATAACTCTCACTAGACAGATAAAATGCCAAATCCAACATGTTGCTTATCAAAGAGAATACGTCAAAATCATACTAGACGCAATGTAATTTTACAGCTAATCTATGAACATGATTATGTATTAGACCTTGCCTGTTTCAGGAGTAATTTATTTATTTATTTTTCCGGGAGGTAGATATTGCCTGTTGTAAGTGCTGATAGATAACATTGGAATTTGTCTATCTGAAGACCTGAATTAATATGAAATATCTCGCCGAGCAAACGCTCCTACTATGACATTACATTACATAATCTACTTTTTACCAAGCCATTGTATGATGTTCAAGCAATATCTGAAAATTCGAAATATTGTTTTTTTTGTTTTTTTTTTTGTTTGTTTTTTTCGTGATAAATAATGAGTACAATGTGGACATCGGAATCTATTACAAGCAATCGGCCAGACAATGCTCTGGTAACCAACATAAATTGACAAAGTACATGAATATGTGAGAAGTACAAAAGGTTATTTCGTTTATTAAACATGTGACGAATTGAAAGGATCACAAAGTTTGCTTAAAAAATTGGTTTATAATAAATGCAACGTGCATTTTTTATAAGCGTGATACAGAACATGATACAATTTAAGTAGGTTTTCCTATCACGCATTAGAATAAAATCAAAAGCGACATCAAAAGCAATTAAATGTTTAAACATAACTTTGTAAGATTAGAAAGATTATGGAAAATTATAAAAACTGTGATGTATGCAACAGTTGCATAGAAAAAAGTAACATAATATGGAATGAACATTGTATAGCACTATGACAAAATGGGCTGCTGAATTTAAGAGGGGCAGAAAGAACATTGGGGATGATGAGCGGCCTGGGCGGCCAAAAGAGGCCACGAACGATAAAACTGCCGAAGCTGTGCACGGTCATGTGAGACAGAAAGCGAGACC